TTGTGAGCCAATACTTGAGCATATTTTTCTAGCCATCTATGCTGCAAGTCCAGCATGTTTTTGCCACTGTTTTTAGCTGCCTTAGGTCTATTTTGAGTGGTTAAAGTCATTTGAGCATTGCTTAGTATGGTTGTAGTGTAAAGGGCCTTGACTAGCTTTGAGTTTTGGGGCCTTTAACATGTTGTGCATGTGATGTTTGCATGGTATGGCACCATTTGGTATGTAATTTCAGTGCATATAGTGTAGTCACACTCTCATATACTTCACTTCTTCATAGCTTTTGAGGGTTGTGTATTATGCCTTGTTTGTGGCCTAACATGTATGCATGTTTGTCTAGTCCTTTAAGCTTCAATTTCAACATGTTGTAGCCTCTGATTTGGCATGTTTGAGCTCTGTCCAGAGCTAGTGTGGTTGTTTAGGCTATATATTGCATGCCTCTTGTATGATGCTCTTCACTAGCCTTAGTGTTTTGGGCCCTTAACATGTCTTGCATGCATTGCTTACATGATTGAGTCTTGTGCATGTCGCTTTAGCATAGCATGTTGTTTGCATTGCATGGTGTTCAATCGGACGTTATGTTGAACACGAGACGGATTGGTCCACTTCATACTCAAAGTGATGAAAGTGAGCCAATCCCCTTTGTCTCCATTGCCTTTGATCTTCCATGATAAGGCAATGGTCTTAGAGTCTTGTTTGTATTGCATTTATTGAATTTGTGCGAGATTGGGTCTTTGGCCATCATACATTGCATGCTTGATTGGTGGTCTTGGATCCAATAATGCCTCTCCCTTGATGTTTTGAGGTGATATGGGGTGGCATAGTACACACATGCCCTAGGGAGACCCTCAATTTCCTCTGTTTTTGTGCTCTGTTTCAGAATGGTGTCACAGCACACTAGTGGCCGGCAGTGCCACATTGATGGCTGGCACCCTTCCATTGTTGGCCGGCAGAGGTCCACTTTTGGTCGGCAGGTGGCCGGCAGCCACCTTTCATGGCCGGCAGCCACCTTTCATGGCCGGCAGGTCACTGGCGCACTCCCCGGCATTGGCTTGGTAAGTTCAGCAGCAAGGTCTTGGAGACACCCTGCAAACAGAGCCTCAAGAGAGCAAACCGGAGAGCTTTTCGGGGCAAAAACCGAGCATGCATCTTCTTCCTCTTTGAACAGAGCTGGAGCAGCTTAGTTTAGTGCTTACTTGTTAGTTAGCATCAATTTGTAATTAATTAATTTGTTAATTAGTTAATTGTTGTAATAATTAGTAAGTAGTTCGCTAGTTATTTGTTTAATTTGTAATAATTAGTCTAATTAGCTTAGCATAGAGTGGCTTAGCGTATTTATTTGGATCCTCCGTCGAGAGAGCAAATGTTGTAATGAGTGTGTATGCGTGTGAATGTCTTCCAACCCCACGTCTTTCTCCCTTTTATTTACCCGCTTTTGATGGTTAGTTTAAGGCATATTTCAATTAGCATACTTTATGTTTGCATGCGTGCATCATTCATTTGCCTTACATGCACCGGGCTCGGAGTATTATTCAAACTGCATTGTATTTCAATTCCTATTTGAATACATGTATCAAAGTGTTGCATTCATATGCCATATTAGATAGCCGAGCCTATTTAGTTGCATTTTTGCATGTGTTGCATTAGGCATCTTGTATAGTTAGGATCATGCATAATTTCTAACTAGTTTTCTGTTTTGGCTCGGAGTACACTGTAAGTGTTTATGCTTTAGCATCCTTGCATGTGTGTTAGTGTTGCCATGTCAGCATGCTTGCCATGAGGCTATTTGCTTAAATGATATAACTGCATGAATGCCTGTGAATGAAGGCTTCATTACTTGAATTGGAACAATTCATGAAAATGTGAGTTTTAAGCCCACTTGGAGTGGCAAATCATCATGTTTTAAGCCCACCTTGTTTGGTGGCAAATCCGCATTTCTAAGCCCACTTGAGGGTGACAAATTCAAACCATTTTCGAAAATAAACATTGAATTGTTTTGTTCCAATTTAGGCGATCTAGTCTATACTTTTATGCTGTGCGCATCACGTAGTAACTTAGCTAAATAATCGGAATAAGAACACATATGTTTTCAAAAACAACATATCATGTTAGTAGAGGCCTATTCTTTGATCGGGCGAGCAGTCCATGTTTGGTGCTTTTTGATTAAAATCGATTTTCCAAAACGATTTGTCAGATTTGGACTCTTTGGTGATTTATCAGTCTTACATTGTACTTCGTGAGATTAGATTCAGAACCATGACAGGAGTCCGAACTGTAGTAGCTAGAACCCAAATCGCGCCCTCTCCGAAAGGGGGCCCGCGCGGAGCAAGTTCGGGCGGGCTACAACTATGAGATTTGAAATGAGTTTTGAAATAAATTTTGAGTTTTGAGTTGTATTTTAAAATAGTTATCAGTTTTTTTTTAATATTTAAAAATTTTCTTATTTTTATTTTTTATGGTAAATATTTATTTATTTTTTTTAATCTGCGTTGTATTTACTACATTTGTGCGTTGTATTTTTTTTTAAAAATATTTTAAATATTTGAAAATTTGAAAATTTTATTTTTTATTTTAAATATATAATTTTTATTGAAAATATTTTTTATTTTTTATTGAAAATATTTTATTTTATTTTATTTTTCAAATTTTTATTTTTTTTTTGATTTTTTTAATATGTAATTTTTTTAAATTTTAAATTTTTTTGAATCATCAATATATATGCAAATCATAACAAATTATTTGGCCAATACTTAAAAAAATAACAAAATTTAAAAAAAATTATTTTTTGAAAAAAATATTTTTTTAAGAATTGAAAAATAAAAAACTAATTTTAAAGAAAAAATAAAAAAATATTTTTTTTTGATTTTTTTTAATTTTAAAAATAGAGTTTTGAGTTTTGAAAATGATTTTTGAAAAGAGTTTTGAATTAACTGTTTAGTTATGAGAATTTTAACAAGAGTTTTTAAATTAAGCTTTAAATATTTTATTTGATTTTGAATTTTGAAAAAAAAAATTATTCAAATGATGATTTGAAAATCAAACCAAAACTACCTGAAATTTTGGCTCTTGTACTAACGCCTCGTTTAGGGATTGACTATTTTAGTTGACTTTTTAATTTTTTATGAAAAGATATATAAAAAATAAAGAGAGTTATATGATAATTTATAATGATTTTTTAATTTTTTTAATTTTTTAACTAAAATGTTAAATCCCAAATGAGACTTAAGTGAGGGTTGGGCATGCTAGCTTGATCCATTGAACTGCCTCTCGAACTGTCTTGTCAGTCAGTCTAAGCCAAATCTGTTCGGCAAGAATTGGGCCTAATATTTTGACTCACGGCTTAACTTGAGCCTATCAAAACTCACTAATTATAAAAGGGTTTTTTGCTGGTCGGTCCTACTTTTTAAAATTTTTCCCCTCTTAGTCCCGAACCTTGCTCTTGTGCACCAACGGGTCCTGAGCCTTTTTTGTGGTACTATTTTACCCTTGTTTTTTTCCGCCATGTTTTCGAGCGTTTGTATTTGATTTTTGCCATCAAAATATTGTGCTGTGAGTATGGGTTTGTGATTTGGATTTCTGTAGAACTTCACAATTTGGTAATGCATTATTGTAGAGCTTTGTGATTTGTGATTTCGTTCTTGGTGTATCTTCGTAATTTGTGATTTGTGATTTCGCGCTTGGTGAAGCTTCCTGTTTTGCGATATGGCGTTTGGTGTATAGTTAGATTTTGTGATTTTCGATTTTGTGGGCAGAGCTCGACTGGTATGTTTGATTTTGATTTCAATTTTGAGGTTTTGGTGTTTTTTAGTTTGAGTTGGTGATTTTGTTTTTGTTGTGATATTGTTGTTATTCTGTTGTTTCTGCGGTTGAATTTGTATTTTGATCATGAAATTGAAAGTTTTGAGATATGTATATGTAACGAATTATATATATATATATTTTTTGGTTACAAAATTGTTTTGGTTGAACACATGCGTTGGTTTGTTATTTTCTACAGTGATAATTTTATCATTGAGTATTTTGGTAGTGTAAGCCTTATTCACTGTTCCATTCTCTTGGTCTTTTGGTAGTGTTAACTGTTAAATTTATCACTGTTGTTTTTTGGATATGTTTGAGTTGGTTGATAATTTTATCACTGTATTAGATTTTGTTTTAGTTTGTTTGAGTTGTTTACTGAAATATAATTGTTGTTTGTTGTAGGATTTATAGTGATGGAGAATTCTTTGTTTCTTATGTGCAAGTTTAGAGGTATGACATTGGTTATCAAGCATAATGATGGGTTTAATTTTAAAGATTTAGTATATAAATTGTGTGCAAAGTGGAGTGAGTTAGTTGGTAGTTCTTTGAATATATCATATTCAATGCTTGTACATTCTTGTTGTGGTCTACAAAGTGAAGAGGATTTGGAGGTTATGGTTGGACTCGCACTTTCTTGTGATATTCATCGTATTGATTTTTTTGTTAAGTGTTGTTCTTTGGGTGAAGGTTATATGATTTGTAATGATGAAGCTAGTAGTAGTAGTAGTGTTGTTTGTGAAACTGATTTTTTGCCTTCATTTTATTCAAATCAACAGAAACCTTTGTTCTCTGATGGTTGGGTTAATTGTATGAAATGAGTGGGACAAAGGTTTGCTCAAGGAGTTATTGAATTTCCAGATGCGTTGTCAAAGTATTCTATTCATTCCGGTTTTGATTTTGATTTTATTAAGAATGACAAGGATCATGTCACTGTTCATTGTAAGAGAAGGGCTGATTTGGGATGTTTATGGAGCATGAATGCAAGAGTGAAAAATTATGGTATAACTTTTGTTATTAAACAATTTTATGATGTTCATACGTGTGGATCTTCTTTTCATACAGTTAAACATGCTAGGATGGCTTCGAGTATGATTGGTGGGCTAATTTCAAGTGAGATTTGTAATAAGGCTTTGACATTAGTTAGTGAGGTGGTTTGTGATTTCAAGGACTATAATAGAACATAAGTTTCTTATCTGCGAGCTTGGATGGGTGTTGAAAAAGCAAGGAGTGTTGTTTTTGGTGACTATTCATCATCATTTGACGATCTTCGTTGGTGTGTTGATGCAGCTAATGATTGTAATCTGGGGAGTGTTTTTGATATGGAATTTGATGTTGATAGTAAAGGAAGACGTTTCAAATGCTTTTTTTTCGCTTTTGAGGCATGTATTCATGGTTTCAAGTATTGTCGGCCTGTGTTGATGCTTGATGGAACTTTCTTAAAAGGAAGACACAAAGGTTGTTTATTGGCTGCTACGGCAAAAGACAGTAACCAAGGTATATTCTGTGTCTATTTGTTATTATTATCAAAACAGTGATAATTTTGTCATTTTTGTTACTGGAGAGTGTTGATTATTGAGTATTGTCAATCTATTAGTGGTAAATTTATGTTGTATACTTTTGTATGCTGTATACTTGTTTTAAATTTTTATATTTATACAGTGATAAATTTATTATGCATTGATTCTATATGTTGTATGTTTCTATTATTTTTTCTAGTTACACAGTGATAAATTTATCTATGGTTGGTGCTATATGTTATATACTTTGCGTTTTGCTTTTGTTTTGTAATCTTTTTTTATTTGTTACTGATAAAGTGTATATATTTTGTTTGTAGTTTTATATCCATTACGTTTTGCCATTGTTGATAGCGAAAGTTATGACAGTTGGCATTGGTTCTTGTCAAAGTTATTTGTTATTTTGACTCCAAGGAGGGATGTTGTGTTTGTTACTAATCGGCATGGCGGTTTGCTGAAAGCTTTAGCTGAGATCTTTCCATTTTCTTCTCATTCTTTTTGTCTTATGCATTTGAAGACAAACTTGAATATGTATTTGACAATGAAGAGTCGTGAATCTAAAGAGTAATTGCTTACTCTTTTAGTAGATGTGCATATGCTCCTACTATTGGGTTGTTTAATGAGCTATTTGAAGAATTTAAGGGTCGTTGTGGTTGTAGTGTTCAAAAGTTTCTTAAGAATTTGCCTAATGAGTGTTGGTGTAACGCTTATTTTCAAGGCAAGAGGTATGGTGAAATGTGCACAAATGTTGCGGAGTCTTTTAATTCATGGATTAGGGATGAGCGCCATTTGTTTTCAACTAGTTTTGTTGATGCTATATGGGTGAAACTAATAGACCAATTTTCAAAAAGGAGAGAAGTTGGGAATAAGTAGAATCGTATTGTTGGTCCTTTTGCAGAGAAAAAGTTGAAAGAAGCTTTTAATGATACAATGGTATAGATAGTTAAGAAATGTAGTGATGACATTTATGAAATCCAATTGGATCATTCAGTTATGGTTGATATTGGGAAACGTTCTTGTTCTTGTCGATTATGGGAAATTGATTCTTTTCCTTGCAAACATGGTTTTTGTGCTATAAAGAGGAGTGGGAAGGATCTGAATTATTTTCTTGATGATTACTACCGTGTTTGTAGTTATTGTGATTCTTATTCGCATTCTATCTATCCAGTTCCAAGTATGTGGAAGCCAAATGTAGTTGTTGATGATGACATTGTTTTACCTCCTCTTTGTAAGAGACCAGCTGGATGTCTAAGAACAGAGATGATACCTTCTAAGGGCGAAATCAAGAGAATTAGGTTCAGTAGGTGTGGAAAGATGGGAACTCATAATTAGAAGACATTTAAAGAAGCTTTGCTTTAGTTATATTGATTTTAATTGAATTAGCTTGTTGAGAGTTGACAGGTGTGTAGATACCCCATTTTTAACCGCCCTCATGACTTGGACGTCACCACTTGCACACCCAATGATGAGTGTATATGCATGTCAAGTGCTCGAAGTCCTCAGCGGAATGCCACAGCTTTGAGCCTTTCAAACCCTACACACCTGTCGCCTTATTTTTGGACCAAAACCAGAGATTTTTAAGCTTGCAACCTCTTGTGGCTTGCCGGCCACAGCTTTTGGTTGCCCGCCACTGATGTGGCCTGCCGGCCATAAGTGTGTTTTGCAGATATTTTTCTGCCAACTGTGCCAGCTGTTAGCACAGATGCATGCACCTTCTTACAGGTGTATGTATTGATATTTCTGAGGGAGTTGCATGGTTTTGTATATATAGGAGGCCTCCCATTCCATTTTCAAGGTTGGAATTTTTAGAGCAAAAATTCTCTCTCTCTCTCTCTCTCTTGTAATTTCTTGGCTTTTTGCAAGCTTTTGCCTATACACTCTAAACCAAACATTACCATCTTTGAGCTGAGGTATCTTTGAGCCAAGTTTGAGCTTTTGAGGGTGTGTAAGCCTTGATTTGTTGCTTAGAATTGGTTCTCCTCTTCAAGAGGTATAAAGCTTTGTTTCTCTTCTTGCTTTATTTACTCTTTTTCCCATTTGAGCTATATAAACTCTATATTTTTGGGTTGAAACTTGTGGTTTAAGGCCAATAAGCGTTGAGGGGCAGTTCATCCTTTTTTATGCCTTGCTTTCAAGGCCTTTACCCTTGTGTATCCCACCGTTACACTATCTTTTTTTGAGCTTTTAAACACTAATTTTCAAAGCTTTTTCAGTGGCTAAAATGTTGTTTTGAAGTCCCAAAATGGAGGGGGTAGGCTCCCCTCCTTGTTTACTAGCCTAGCATGCTCCATGTTTTAGTTTATTATTCTAGCTATTTTTGTTTTAATTCTAGCATGTTTTAGGACTTATTTAGCACTATTTTAGGACTATTTTTAAGTGTTCATTGCATTTGAGCCTTGTATTGCATGCTTGTAGTGCAATTGTCATAGGTTTGGTGGTTTAGGCCTTAGCCACCATCCTATTTGAGTTGATAGTGTTTATTTATGGCCTTCTTTACTTGTGATCACCTTTAATCATCTCTGCAACATTCCTCCTTTCTTGGCTTTTGCTTTTCTTTGAGAGTTGTTTCAAACCTATTGTTCTTTTAAGCTTGAGACTGAGGTTGTCATACTTAATGGTTTAATCCCTTTTAGGGATTCATTATCAACGAAATGACATCTTTCTCATGCTGACACTTCTCTCCTTTAGAGAACTTAAACTCACTTTTGGACTTAATTGATTAAAGAATTAAAAGGTAACTAAAATGGAGTAATAAAAGCAGTGACTAAAAAAGGGCAAGATAATAATTTGGTTTGGGTTCAATCGGGCGTTAATTGAACCCTTGAGTCTTGAGTCGTTTCATACTCATTAGTGATGCAAACAGCTCAAGATTTATTGTCAACTACATCCCTTGATCATTCATGATAGGGAGGTGGTTTTGAGAGTCTTGTTTGTTGCATTCATTAAACTTGCACACTTTTGGTTCATAAGCCTTCATGCAATGAAATTACGTCCATTGATGGTTTGTGAATCAAATTTTGTCACTCCTTTGAGCTGCTGTTTGATGATAAGGAGGGGTAAGTTATGCAAACAACCCTTGAGAATACCCTACTCTTGCTCTGCTTGCTCTCTGTTGTAGTAGGAAGAACCAGGCAACAATGGCCGGTAGGCCACCATTTGTGGACGGCAGGCCATCACTTTTAGCCTGTCGGCCACCTGTGCAAAATCTAGCAGTGTACTTTTGAGGAAAAACATAATTGGTCTTGAGGTGGAAAATAGTGTAACTGTTCTACTGTGCAACAAAGGTATCTGGCAGTAGAACAGTGGGCTTCTTCGGGTAGAAATGCATTCATGCATGAACCCTTCCTCGATCCTCGGGATCCGTGAAGTGATGTTAATAGTAATGCTGTGCTTGAAGTAGTGGCTTTGTAATAGCTAATTCGTTTCGCTTTGTAATTATTTAATTAGCTAGAGTAGTTAACTAATTATTTTATTTGGTTTGTAACAATTAGTTAAGTAGTTTAGCTAAATTATTCATTTGGGTTTGTAATAGTTAATTAATTAGCTTAGCGTTAATTAGTTAGCTAGTTTATTCATTCGGACCCTCCTGTGTGAGGGCGCAAATGTTGTAATAATGCGTATGTCTTCCAACCCCACATCTTTCTCCCTTTTATTTACCTGCTTATGATGGTTAGATTAGGGCATCATATTTTGTTTAGCATTCTCCATGTTTGCATCCACTTGTCTTGCATGCATTAGGCTCGGTTCATCTTTCTAACTTGCATTGTTAGTTAAATATTCTTAGAATATGTGCTTAGACCGCATGCTATTTAATTGATTCATATGCTATATTAGTAGCCGAGCCTATTTAGATTGCATATCGCATGAGTTGCATTAGTCATATTGCATAAGTTAGGATCATGCATTGTTCTAACTCCTTTATCTTTCTTTGGGTTGGAGTACTAGGTGAGCTTTTATTTGCTTTAGCATATTGCATGAATGTGGTTGTTGCCATATCAAAGCATGTTCATTATGAGGCTAAGTGCTTAGATGATAAACTGTTTCGATGCCTGCGGATGAAGACTAGTTGCTTAAATTGGAATAATTTGTGTAATGTTCATATGCGATCACTTTTTCAAGTGGTACATATTCGAAACAATTTTTCAAACAAAACATGAATCAAATGTTCCAACTTTGACAAATTAGTCTATACCTGTGTGCGCATCACATAGTAAAGTTAGTCTAATAATCGGAACATGAGCATATAATGTAGACAAGGTTAATATCATGATTAATATAGACCGATCTTTGATCAGGCGAGGGGGGGTACTCAATTCATAACCTTCCCCTCTCGTACCTATGTTCTCGAGCCGAGACAATCTTGGTGATGGTGGATACGTGGCCTTTGGCATGAGTCATGGGTTTCTTAGATTTCTCAAAAATATTTAGGTGGTGACTCTGTATCTAGCAAAACAGTCTATTTTTGGCATTTGATTCAAAATTGATTTTCCAAAAGATTTGTCGGATTTGGACTCTTTGGTGTTTACCTATTTCACATTGCACTTGTGAGATCAGATTCAGAACTGCGGGAGTCCGATACTGTAGGGCTTATTCGTCTTCCGAAAAGGAGCACGAAAAGTTGATCTACAGTTTCTTGCGACTCTGCTGGGAAATTAGAGATCTTGACTTGAACTTCATGATATGAAATTTTATCTACACTTATATATTTCTTTGCATTGTATTTGTATTGGTGCGCTTAAGTCACTGTGTTTGTTATCTGCTATTTCTAGACGGTTTGCCGGAGGATTGCCTAAAAGCTTGCCAAAAGGTTGGCCGGTCATGGGCTCTACCATGATGGGAACACAACCCTTGGATCTGGACTACTGCTGTATCGTTTGATGCTCCTTTCATTTCTCGATGTTAGGTGTGAGAGGTATATTAGGTAGTCTTGCCAAGGCATCCTTTTTGACCAATTGGCCTAATTGCATATAGAAAAGCCATAGAGACTTTTCCAAACTAGGATAGGACATTACCCGAATGTAGGACTGCATGAAACCGCTTTGTTTGAATAGTGAAACCTACTTCTTGACGAAACTAGGACAGGGTAACCCTACCCCGTCATAGGGTGTTTTGGTTCTCACTTAATTGGTATGTGTTTTACAGTGAAATTGTACAGGAATGTGCATATCAATTGCGAGTTTGGTATCTATTTTGGGGGCAGAATTTAGTGTTGAGTGTGGTCCTACAGCTTTGATTACATATGTGTTGATAACGTCTTAGCTGAGGTGCTGTGCGGTTTCTGATTACTGCTTTCTTTTTGCTTTATTTCTTTTTGCTAGGTAGTTGTGGAAAAGTGGTTTGGAAATACTCTTCAGATCCTGGGGAATGCTCGTGATCCTCTACTAGTCACCTGAAAAGGAATCAACGCTCTGGTCGGGGGTGCTGGAATTAGCACTTCGACAGGCAAGTCAGTCTTTATTCTCTGGATTACTTGTATTTTAAGTTAAGCGTAGTAGTTTTCACATACCTTTCTTTGACTGTTGTTCCTTTATTTATACTCGTTTCTAGGGCCTCGGGGCCTGGTCCACTTTTCGCTCGCTATCTGCTTATTTATTTGGCTCCCACAATTGCCCCCCAAACTCTCCATTGACGGCGGTTAATTGGTGTGTTTGGTTTTGAATTTGAAAAGTCAAGAGAGACATAAATTAGGCGGCTTCACCTATCCCAATGTGAATGTCAGAACACATACGCCTTTTGGTCATCATTATACGTTCCCGCCTTATTTGTGCATCTTTTGCATTTATTATGATTTGAAACTTCAGTCTCTTCGAATGCATACTTTTTGAATATTTGAGCCTCCTGGATTGCCAACCGGAATCCCTCCTCTATTTGGCATCTTCTGCAACTTCTTCTCATCTCTCCTTGTCTCCTTTGCCTCTTGTAAGTTTTCTTCTCTTCTTTTTGTAATCCTATTTTCCGTGTTTATTTTTGATCTAGAATACCTCTGAGTCCTTACTAGAATGGCTAAACATTTCAAAGACCTCTTTTCCGAGGGTCGTATTTTTGGGTTCCGGCGACATTTTTCTATCCCTGATGATGTCCATATATCTCTAGTGACGGACAATACCCTTGATATGGAGAGGGAGGACCAAAATACCATCGTCTTTCCTCTCCTATCCATTGCGGAGGGCGGGGTTCGCTTTCCCCTACACCCATTTCTTAGGGCCGTCCTCCGCCATTGGGGTCTGATTCCTTCCCAACCCAATGTGAATTTCTTTCGAATCATAATGGGAATCGTGGAATTGGACCGGCACCTTAGGATCAACCTTGGCATTCTAGCGATTCGGCACTGC